ATTTGATGCCCGACCTCCATTAAATGCACAAGCAAATAGATTGCAAGGAGGGGGAGTTGAGTCTAACACATATTATCCATTTTGTGAATTTCAATATCTTTCTATTGAGAATATTCATGAAGTAAGAAATGCATATTACAAAATGCTAAAAGCAATTCTTATGATGCCACATAATTCGTATGAATATAAGAATGTAATAGAAGGATGTAAATGGTATCAATTCTTACATTCTATTCTTGTTGGTGCAGTATCAATTGTAAATAAAATTAAAGAAGGGAATTCTGTATTAGTTCATTGTTCTGATGGATGGGATAGAACAAGTCAATTAACTTCTCTTGCAATGATTATCCTTGACCCTTACTATCGAACAGTCGAAGGATTGTTAACTCTTATTGAGAAAGAATGGATTACTTTTGGTCATAGATTTAAACAAAGAAGTGGACTAGGATGTAGATATGATATTGATGTTACTCCAATAATTCAAAGTTTATTTAGAGATGTTAAACCAAAAGACTTCCAGAAACAAGAACAAAATGATAATGAATCATCTCCTATTTATGGGCAATGGATTGAATGTGTTGAAATTATTAGAAGACAACAACCAGACGCTTTTGAATATAACGGAGATTTATTAATCTTTTTATTAGATAGTTTGTATAATTGTCAATTTGCAAATTATTTAGAATATCCAAACACTTGTTCTTGTAATATCTCGAATCTTCTTTCAATGGTTCCTTACGTTTATTCTCATAGAATTAAATTTACTAATACATCTTTTAAAGCTGTGGCAGATGATATAAAAGTTTCTTTAAATCCATTACAATTTAAATTATGGAAAGAATATTATTTAAGATATGACAAGCCTGTGGTATTAAATATTTGAATTAATTGAATAAATCTACATTTATTTACTTTTTTTTTAATTTTCTATTGAAACAGTCATCTATTTGTTCTAAATTTTTTAATTTTAACTTTATGCTTAATTTCTTTTCTTCTGTTGCTTTGATTGAATGTCTTTAATTTTCTTTATTATTTATTCAATTCAATATTAATTTTTTATATAAATAATCATCATAATATTCATAATAAATAAATTAAAATGAGTATTAATAACATTCAAGAATTTTACTTTTTAACTACAACAAAAGAATATATTAGTTTATTCTTATTTATAAAACATCCTCATTTTAAAATAAATACTAAAAAGCTACTTTTAAATTGTGTCATGTCTTAGTAACATTAAATAATAATTATTTGAATTTAATCATTAATTGAACCTTTAAACGCTCTTTCATAATAAACGTTCATTCAAATAGATTATATTTTTGTTAAAGAATCTATCAATGAATATTCTTGGAAGGAGTTATTAAATGAAACCTTTTTGTGTCATTTATTTTTAAATATAAACATGTTTTATATAACCTTTTTGCAAATCAAAAAGATTAAAAAAAAGTAAAAATAACAATACCAACTTAAAAATAAGTAAAAGAACTTTTAATAGTCATTGTGAAATGCTTTCTCTAACAACAAGAACTACTAATTTATTAGAACAACCACTTAACACTGATTTATTAAATTTTTTAGCGCTTGACATTCAAAAAGAAGTTATTAGATTAATTACATTAAATGTTACACAAAGAATAGGTGAAATTGGAAAATTTCTTATCACTGATGATCATTGTAAATGGTTAATGGAAACTATTGGAAAAGGATTTTCATTACCTCTCTCAGAAATTGATACTATTTCAAATTGTCTTTCAATATATGAAAGTTGGTTTTTGGAAGAAGTTGGAACTCCAAAACCAATTAGTGATAATCTTGTCGGGTATTGTGATGTTGTTGTTGGTCAAATATCATTATTATTCAGTCAAAGAGAAGAACATATTCAACCACAAACTATGGTTAATTATGCTGAATTATGTTTAAAAGCAGTTAACTTATTAAAACAATTATCGTATAAACTAAATAATACTGGAACATTAAGAAGAATTGTTTGTGTTTTAATTGCTTCTATTGATGATATGTGTGGTCCAATTGATAATTTAACAACAACACTTCCTATGACCAAAGTAATTGATGAATCTATATCACTCTTATATCAATTTTGGTTACAATTACTACCATCTGATAATTTAATTTGGGGAGTATTTTCATTATTTCATAAAAAATGGATAAGAATTTCAGAAGTAGCAACAAATTGGTGTAGGTATTGTTGTTCAATTGAAAGTTCTTTATTAAAATGGCTTTTTAATCCATTAAGTGATGGAAGTATTCATATAGTATTTAAATTAAATGACACAACAACAGAAACTGATTGTAAAGAAGATTATGGTCTTAAATTTTGGTTAAGAATTCTTCATTGTTGTGGTAATCCATCATCAATTTCTGATAATAAAGTATTTGCTATAGTCCAACAAGGACTTAATGATATGATAATGGAATTAATTGGATTTACTAGTACAACTCCACTTCCTAATGGAAATGATATGTTTAATATTTTTGTTGATGCTTTATATCATCCTATTCGTTATATGAACCATAACAATTATTCTGATGGAATTACTATTGCTATAAAATCTACTATTTTAATGTTTAAAAAAATGTCATCTATTACTGTTTACCATACTCAACATTACTGTAAGATATTAAAAATTATTGAGACTTGTTTATTGAGTCCAGCACTTGTTGTAGTTGAATATACAATCCAATTATTATTAGGAGTCTTTAATGAAAAGAATCAACCAATGGCATTATTATTACCAGCAATAGTATCAGCAACATCTAAAATTATTTCACAATCAAATCATATATTTAAATTAAGTGCTATTAGACTAATAGCAGAACTTCAATTGTCAATTGGAAAAGAACGTTCTGATGTAGTTATTCCAACAATAAATAAATTCCAAGAAAATGAAAATTCAATTACTTATGGTGGGATTAAAAAGGAATTGTTTTCTATTGCATTATCTGCTTTTGAAAAAGAGATAACTAAAGGAGAAAATTTATTAGAAAATATTAAAGTAATTGGTAAATTCATTATTGATGCAGCAAATGAGAGTTCTATTGAAGAAGTGATAAATAAGACAATTTCATTCTTTATAAAAAGCAATGAACAGTTAAAAATATTATTGAATACATCATCAATGGATGTCATTGATTTTATTGAAATTATTATTGAATATTCTTCACTCATAGAAAACCAAGCAAATGACTTAATTCCTTTATTCGAATTTTTATTAACATTTATTGAAAGCAATACATCAGGAACATCTTGGAAAAATCTTCACCAACTCGTTGGAACATTTGCTAAATTATATTGTATTTGCTTTGAGGTTATACCATCAAGTATGTTTAGTCGTTGTAATATAATGTTTAGTCGTTGGTGTCAATCAATCCCACCAAATAGAACAGAAGATGGAAATACTATCTTTGACGTAAGGTTATTAAACTGCTTCCAACAATATGTACTACCTTTTGTTCCATTAAAAACAACTATAGATGAGTTACAAATGAAACAAATATTTACAAATAAAGGAATTAATCATTTTGATGAATATATTCATTTGTACTACAAAAATGATTCTATTCTTTCTTTTATCGAACTTCCTTGGATGAGAACTTCTGAAACAAAATCTTTACTTCTTATTTGTAGAAATTACTATGGAAAACAATGCTACTTATTAAATATGCTCTTAGAAACAAAAGAATGGACATTGTTATTAGATAATTCTACTCCTTCACCCTATGAACCAATTATTCCTTCAATTGAACAAGCGTCTTGGAATAAAACTTGCTCAGAAAATATAGAGCCATTATTAACTGAATTAAAGAAAGATGTTGAAAGTCGAAAAGATAATGATTCTCGATTAACAATACCGTCAACTATTACAGAAAAATCTCTCAATAATCAAAATATTTTAAGTCAATCAGGATTATGTCGTATATTATTAAAAACACTTGGAATTACTTCATTTGAAAATAAATATCAAACATTATTACCCACAGATGAAGTTTTCGCTATTACTAAAAAAATAGATTCTGTCTCAACTAAAAATAATGTATATGTTGATATAATAAATTCTAATAATTATTCTCATGAATTTATTACTTTCATAAATGGTCTTGGAAATGTCTTTGAAAAACAAACAGGAGAACAAGAATTAAAATACATTGATGACCAATATATTATTTATTTCGGAAATGATGTTCTTTCTAAATCTTCTTATCCAAATACATCTCAAATTCAAATAAGATGGAATACTCCACTTGATACTGAATCAACAAATCTTCAAATTTCAATCACACCAACAAATAGTGATTTATATGTAATAGAATCAACTATTCCTCTTTTTACATTAGAAAAAAAACAATTAATAAACTTTTCTTGTTTATCTAACATTGTTAGAGAAGCTATTTTATCACATTCAAGAAGAACTACAAAACTTTTAACTCCACTATTAATGAGAAAAGAATCTTTCGATGAATTACTAAATCTCAAAACAGATACTCTTCCATTCCTTGATTGTCTTTTTGATAAGAACCAAATCATTGCTATTAAAGATCTTGGATTTAATTCTATTGATAAATTCTCTAATATAATTCCTTTTGATAAAACTCATTCCTCTCAACATTCAGTTAAAACTCTATCAACCACAATTCAACTTGCTCAATTACCACCAACCTCTACTCCTATTAAAACAATAGAACCATCATTATCAAAATCTTCTATAGATATTGAAAATGAACCATCAACTCCTATAAAAACTCATAAAGGTTTATTCTCAAGAAAGAGTACATTAAGTTTCAGCGATAAGAAAGAAAGTGATAAAGAAAAGAAAGATTCTAATACAAGACAAACTGTTTCTGGAAAGCCAACTGATGGAACCCCCAAAGAAGTAGATAAAAAATCAAGATTTTCTCTGTTCAAGAAAACAAAGAAATAATTTGAATTGAATTTCTCTTATTTTTCTTTTCTTTGATTTAATGGTTAGTTATTTCAATTAATATTTATGTGGACAGTCAAATGTTTTATGACCATATTCTCTACAATAATCGCAATAATATCTACAATTTATTGGTACTTTTAATTTTTGAAATTTTTGAATTGGTAATTTTCTATGGTGTTCATATTTTTGTTGGTTTATTGTTTTCTTACTGTGACAATTAATTCTAAATGTTTGTTTTCCTCGTGTTGTTTCAATTTCTTTTATAATATCTTCTTTAAATTTTGGTTCATTCTTACATTCTTTTGGTAAATGCCCAAATTCACCACATCGTTTACATCGTCTTTTAAATAACTCTCTATCTTTCAATCTTTTTTGGTAGATACCTCTGTAGTACAACCACTCTTCTCTTTTTATTATATCTGCTTCTTTACTTTGTGACTTTGTCTTATCGTAGTTATTATCTTCAATGAAATGGTTTGGTGACTCTTTTTCTTTGGTTTCTATATGAATAAAACCATTACCCTCTAACTGATTTATCAATTCTACAGATTTAAATTGTGGGCAAACCTCTAGAGTTTCTACTTCTATTGAAGAACCAATACTGTTCATAAAAGAAAGGGAATAACAAATGAAAAAGAAGTTATTTTTTTATATAGAAAATAAAACAATTAATAATAGTTAATTAAATTATGAAATTAATAAAAACTGAAAACTAAATAATTTATTTATAACTACTGAATGGCTGGTTTATCTAGTTTTATCTATGGAGGTGATGAAAGTGTTGACCCTTTTGGTTCAAGTAATTCAACCGTCGACCCATTTGGTGCTTCTTCAAATAGTGTTGATCCGTTTGCTATTCCTGTTCCATCACAACCTAATATTCAGTCATTTGACCCCTTTGCTAACTCAAGTAATACAAATGATTCTATACCACCACCAGTATCCTTCCAACTACAGCCATCCTCTATACCTCCCGTAGCAATTCCAACAATATCTAGTGATACATCAGATAAAGATAATAAAAAAGATGATATTAATGAACATTCTCCTGCTGAAGAAGATGAATTAAAAACAGAATTTAATATTGAACCTAAGAAGTCACCAAGAATTGCTATTGAAACTGAAGAAAATAAACCAAACCAAAAAGAAGAAACAACTGAAGAACAACAACCCCAACAAATAACAGAAGAACAAAATCAAAATGTTATGATTACAGAGGTTGAAGATCAAGCAAATCAAAAAGTGATTAATTATTTCCAAAAAGCATTTTCAACAACATTTGTCCCTCAACTAAAAGAAACAGAAACAGAAGTAAATGAACTAATTCAAATTCAAGGATTATTAGATAATCAATTAAAAGTATTATACGATAAACTTAAAGAAATGGAACGTATTCTCTCCCCACCATCATATATTGAAGATTTAAATAGAATTATAAAAATTCAAAAAAGAATTGATAGAATCAATGCAGTATTAACTCAAATAGAGACACGAATTACAGTATTAATGAGTTCAAGAATCTATATGAAATGTTTGTTATTTTTATTTTAGAAATATAAAGGAATTTATTAATAATAATCTTATGTGTAGATAGTTCACAAATAACAATCACTAACTAATCATTTATTTTCTCTCAATTTCTTTTAATTTAATTCTTAATTAATTAAATTTGTTCATTTAAACCATGGATGTTCTAAACACATCTTTGCAGTAAATCGTTTATTTTCATCATAAATAAGCATTCCTTCAATCAATGATGCAATAGGCTCAGCAACTTCAGGTAAAAATTTATATTTTTCAATAAGAACTTCTTTAGTTTTCCATAAATGTAATTCATTATTAGGAATATGTTTTAATTCATAATTTCTTGTAAAATATTTTGGAGTATTTGGAGCTATATTTAAGTATTTTTTATTGAAATAACCAAGTAATTCAATAAATTGGGCTAAATGGTCTTCTTCTAAAGTAAATGTTTTTCCTTGTTTCGGTTTAAATAAATAGTCTCCTGTTAACATTTCAAAAATCATACATCCATGTGACCATATATCAACTGGACATCCCCAATGAAGTCCTAAAATAACTTCTGGACTTCTATATTCTAATGTTTGAATATCATCAGTAAATCGTTTGTTAATCCAATTTGCATTACCAAAATCAGCAAGTTTACTTTCAATAATTTTAGGAATTGGTTCTTTTCCATTTTTTGGAATTGTAAATGAAAGAAGTACATTTTCAGGTTTTAAATCAGTATGAATAATTCCACATTTTGTATGAATAAAATCTAATGCTTTTAATATTTGTTTTGCAATTTCTTTACAATCATTAATTGGAATACCTTTATAGTCATAATATTTTATTAAGTCTAATAAATTTGATCCTCCTAATTCCATTACCATACAAATATGTTGTCCATTTGGTCCATTATGCTTAAAATCTTCTAAAATATGTATTACATTTTCTTTTCTTTCTGGATCACATTCATTTATTTTCTTCATTATTTTAATTTCATCTAATGCAGTTTCTGTGTATGTTTTTGCACTTTTAACTATTTTTAATGCTCCTTGAACTTTATTTTCCTTATGTTCTACTAACCATACTGTTGAAAAATGTCCAAATCCAAGTTTCTTTTGAATGATATAACCATTATATTCTTCTCCAATAACTACAGGATGATATCCACCAAGTCTATAATATTTTGGTTTTTCAACATATTCTCCATCAGAGTTTTCATAGCCATCTGAAGATGAATCAGACTCTTCTTTAGGTTTACTGATTGGTTTAGGTGCAATTTTAGCTAATCCCACTTTTTTGGGGTTCTTTTTAGTAAATGGCATACAACTGAGAAGAGTTAGTTCTTTTCATATAATTCTAATTTCATTCTTTCTTTTAAAACCCTTTTTCTTTATGATAAAAACATTATTAAAAAAATTTTCAAAATAAAATATTCAACACCTTAAGAGTCGATTAGAAGAGATCTCCAAATCCTCCGAAGTCTTCTTCGGCTTCTTCTTCTTCTTTTTTATCTTCTTTCTTTTCTTCTGTAGCTTCATTTTGTGCAGCTGGAGCAGCACCAGCAGCTGGGGCTGCAGCAACTGGAGCAGATCCTGCGTCCATAATTAAATCTTCAATATTGGCATTAGCAAGGGCCTTAGCCATGATAATTGGCCAGAAACCTTCAACCTTAATATTAGAATGGTGAAGAACAGTATTAATATGTTCAGCAGTAATTTCTTTACCAGCTTCATGGATAAGAAGAGCAGCAAGGGCAACGGCAAGTTCTTGATGTTGATGAGCAGCTTCCATTTTGGTTGAAAGTGAATAGTAAAAGAGTTCAAGTTTTGAAAAGTAGGTTTAGTTAATAACTATAAATTATAGTAAATTTATTATAAAAAAGGTATTTGAGAAAAAAGAATTTTTATTTAATTAAAAAAGAATTAAAATAAAGAAATGAAAGAATTAAAAGTGAATTATACAAACGAATAGATTGATAAATCTTCAAATGCATTATTTATCCAGTTCATTGTTCTTTCTGGTAATACAAAGAATTTTGTAAGAAGGAATTTATTTAATTCTTTTTTTAAAATAATAACTGAATTTTTATCTATGAGCCATAAAGAATGAATAGTATTTTTACGAAGTAATTCTATGTGTCTTAAAACAAAATAAAATGGAGATTCATTCTTTTTATGAGGAATATTTGTTGTTAAAAACACACCATCATAGTGTAAATAGAGACATGACTTTAATAATGAATTCACTGAAATACAACTCTTTGATTCACTAAAAGAATTTTGAATATTTTGAATATCAAAATCTTTATAAAAACTATGTGGGAGACTTTTGTTTGAAGTACAAATTACAACAAAAACAGTTTTTATTGTTAATTTGACATTAATAAAAATATCAATATACCAAATAATATTATTTATTAATGGATAAATTGGAATTAAATGATTTGAATATAACCATTTATTAAGTTTCATTGAAGGTAAAGAACTTTTTAAAGGTGCATGAACATTAATAAGATGATAAAATGGTAGTATTTGTGACTGGTCTAATTCATTAAAAAGAATTGAATTGTTTCTAGTTATAAAACATGTTTTAAATGTTGGATATTTTGAACGAAGTAAATTCATTTTACTTTTTAAATAAATAAAAGAAGAAGAAGGAATAATTCCATTTCTAAGTTGATATAAATTTTCAAATATTTTATTAAAAGTAAATGTAGTAAATATATTATTAAAATACATTTCTAATAATTCATATGTAACTGATTTGTTAAGTTCATTTCCATTAAGAACCTTAAAATGTTATTGAATAGATATTTCATTTTTATAACGTAAAGAAAAACAAACAAGAAATGTATCAACAAGTATTTTGAGATATTTAGAATAATAATAATAATAATTCGTATTTTCTTTTTCTCTTAAAATTCTTAAAAGAAAATAATAATGTGGTATTGGAGAATAAATAAATGTAACATAATTCTTTGTTTTTAATATTTGAATATTACCACAAAATTTATTAACAAGTAGTATATAAGAAATAATATGATTTATAGTAATAACTAATTGATTATATTCAATTCTTGTTAAATAAAACAATAGTCTCTCATCTTGATGTTCAGATCTATTCCCTAATCTATCATCAATAACAGCAAAAAACTGAACACTTTCTAATTTAGACGTCTGAGACATAATAATTAAAAGTTTAAAAAAACTTTTTTATTATAAAAAAATTAATAAATTAATTTAATCGAGATCGTATTGATGGAATGGATGAAACAATATTGAATAACTCATCTATTTTTTTCGTTAATATTGGTCGTTCATGTAATTTCTTAAATTGAGTCACAAACGAATCAACTTTTTCTGGAGAATTTGAAATAAATATAAGAATACTTTTAACATGACAAAGTTTAATCAAAATTTCTAATGATAATAATTGAACTGAAGAATCACCAAATTCACTCCAAATCATCAATAATGGAAATATTTGATTTGACATAGAAAATAAAGCAGACTCTTCATCATAAATTAGATTATCATAAATACGAAGAACAGAATGAGTTGTTGTCATTGGCACTTCATTACAAAAACCAACAGGAATAAGGAGTGATAAAATGTTTATAGAAAGTAATAAATTTCTGAAGGTTGTTTCAGAAATAATATCAAATAGTTCTATAATTTTAATCAATAATTGAGATGGTTTTATTTTAGGCAGAATTTCCTTTGTATACATTTTAATAACATGGTCAATAAAATGAATTTCAAATAAATAAACAATATAATCATTTTTCATAGAAATTAAATGAATAGCTTCCAATAATTTTTCTTCAGAGATATTATCTGCTAATAGTTCAGCAACTTTTTTTTCTTCATTGGTAAGTTGGTAAGGTGGTAATTTAATTTTTTCTTCATGACAATGAGAGTGATGTTCCATTTTGCTTTTCATGTGAGATTAATATCCACATTAGTAAAAATAGAATATAAGAAAAATAAAAAAAAACTAGAAAATAGAAAGAAAACTCAAAAAGAAACGTGAAACTTTAAAAGTCTAAAATAAGTTTAAGTTGAACTATATAATGAAAACTACAATCTAATCAAATAAATATTTAATGTCCCAACCACAATGGGTTCTTACCC